TTTTATCTTAATATAGAAAGAGCTTCTTCTTGATCCCTTAATGTTCCCTTTTTATGATATCTTTTCCTTGTTTCATAGCTATAATAGTTTTTCTCTAAGGTTTTTTTCTTTTTGTTAAGACAGTTTCACTCTATTGCCCAGGCTAGAGTGCCATGGCATCAGCGCAGCTCACAACAACCTGAAACTCCTAAGTTCTAATGATCTTCCTGCTTCAGCTGCTCAAGTAGCTGTGACTATAGGCTCCTGCCAGCTAATTTTTTTATTTTTAGTAGAGATAGGGTCTCACTCTTGCTCAGGCTCGTCTTGAAATTCGAACTCGAGTGATCCTCCCAACTCAGCTTCCCAGAGTGCTAGGATTACAGGTGTGAGCCACCGTGCCCAGCCAGGTTATTAATTTAAAAAAATTTTTTTTCTCCTTCTTGCATTGTCTCTTTCTCACAATTTCCTTTTCTTTTTGTTTGATCTATCTTTCATATTAAGAATTTTTCTTTCTTGGCTCGGCGCCTATAGCTCAACCGGCTAAGGTGCCAGCCACGTACACCTAAGGTGGCAGGTTCGAATCCCCAGCCTGGACCCGCCAAAACAACAATGACGGCTGCAACCAAAAAATAGCCGGGCGTTGTGGTGGGCGCCTGTGGTCCCAGCTACTTGGGAGGCTGAGGCAGGAGACTCGCTTGAGCCCAGGAGTTGGAGGTTGCTGTGAGCTGTAATGCCACGGCACTCTACCCAGGGGGACAGCTTGAGGCTCCTAAAAAAAAAAAAAAAGAATTTTTCTTTCTTGACAATGACACTTCATTTTTAAGTGTAAGAGCAGTGAAAGGCTATTTGGAAGCTATGGGTGTGAGATTAGGGGATGTTTACTGGTGGATGTCACCATAAGGTAAATGAAGAAGTTGGCCATTTTATTGAGGTGTGAGGCCTTTCAATTATTAATATCTGAAGTCTTTTTTCCTGGGCTGCTAGCCAATGTCCAGAATAATTTTCTAACTTCCTGCCTGTAGAATATGTCTTACATACCCAGACTTTGATGGGCAGAAGGAGTCATACTTTGGAACTCAGACTTTTATTTAAGCCACCCTTCTTGGACATCCCCATGTCCAGAACTTCTGTGTTTCAGTTTCTGTTGAGGGTAAACATCCTGTCTTTGATGAAGTAACAGAGAGACAGTCTTCCCATCACTGCAGTCCAAGAAAGGGGATGGAGGGTATCTAACTGCTCTTACGCAGATTTTCAGTTAATTCTGATTTTCATCCCCCCTTGCTCTCACTGGTGTTTTGAGGTTTCTCTCATTTTTCCAGAGTTCTCAGCACATTTCACCTCAAGGATTTTTATGTGTGCTCCCTGTAAGGTTTTCTCTGCTAAATCAGACTTTTTCTGTTAAATTTTTTATTGTCTAAATTTTGATTGACTTCTCTTGTCTGGAGACTTCGCTCATTAACCTATACCTTTATTGTCATTTTTAGTAGAATTTCCAGAGAAAGCTAAGAAAAAGTACATATTCATCATGTTTAACCAAACCCAGGATGCTTGCTTATTGTGCAGAGCTGTTATATTAGGTTTATATGAGTGAGGCTGTAAACTAGATAGGAAATTATCCTAGTCATTCTGCTTCTCCATAGAAATTTTCCTGTAGCAGTTATACAGCTTGAAACACACACAACTGATAGTGGTCATTTCGTGTGTCATGTATGGCTAGAGAGACCAGTACGAAATAATTTTAGCCATGCTATCAGTAGTTAGGGGTTGATACTACACTTTGAACTTCGAACCAAAAGAGGACTGCCATATAGGGGAGAGTGCTGATTGAACTACCTGAAAGAGCGAGACAGATACATGGAAGAAAGAAATTAAAATAAAACAGGTAATACAGTTAAAGCAAACGTTGATGAAGTAGCATGAATATTTATTTATTTTTTATTTTTTTAGAGTTTGAGGTCTTGCTCTGTTGCCCAGACTGGAGTATAGTGGCATGATGGTAGCTTACTGCAGCCTCGAGCTCCTGGGCTCAAATAGTCCTACTGCCAAGAGACATACTCCCAAACACCATAATTGCAAATGTTTAAATCCTGAGAGATCAAAATCCCTAAAGTTTAATCCCAAAAGATCACAATCTTCAACATCCAAAATCCTGAAAGTCACAGTCTCAAGAAATTAAAATCCCAAATGCTGAAATCCCAAAACCAAACTCTTTTGGAAAGAATCAGTGCGATTTTGGTTATATGCAGAAGGATAGATACTGATAACAATGTGTTACTTGTGTTATGTTAGGTACAATTATAGCTTTGTTTTTTCTCAATTTTGCAGAAAATTCAGAAGAGTAGATTGGCCATTAAGATGTGGCAATGATGAAAACTTCATTTTAAAAATGTCATTTTCCTGTGTTGGCATTCTTCCAACTGGTGACATTCCAGGAGTTTTTAATGAATTGAAGCCTCATTGGCATGAGAAAGCCAGCAAAGTTACTGACTGGTTCAGAAATAATGCACATGAGAGGATAGGAAGACACCAAATAGTGTTGCTGTTTGGTCACCAGTATTGTGGTCTGTGTATGAGTGCATGTGGAATGCATTTCAGAATACCCAAAATGACACAGAATTGTGACACCGAAGATGGAAAAGTAGAATAGGGCCTGCACATATTGGTATATATCACATCATAGAATAATTTCAAAAAGAGTGGTACCACACAGAAAATGAATATGAATGCTTTGTCAGAGAAGAGCTATGTCCTAAAACAAAAAAAGTAGAGTTTTCTTTTTCCTTTTTTTGAGACAGGGCCTTACTCTTTTGGCAGAGTGCAGTAGCATCATCATAACTCACTGCAACCTCAAACTCCTGGGCTTAGGAGTTCCTCCTGCCTCAACCTCCCAAGTAGCTGGAACTATAGACATTTCAGTGTACGATTTTTTTTTTAGTAAAGACATTGTCTCACTATTGCCTGAGCTAGTCTTGAACTACCGGCCTCAAGGGATTCTCCTGCCTCATCTCTTAAAGTGTTAGGATTACAGGCATGAGCCACCACCCTTTGACTATTCGTTAGGATGTAAGACTTCAAAATATAGTTAATGAACGTGAAAGCTGGTCAGCTTTTCTGAATTATTTCCATGCAATTGCCCATAACCTAGCCCTGTAATATGTTTTCATATGTTAAATTTTTTTCTTTTCTTTTCCTTCTTTTAGATTTTTTTCACTATCTTAAATTTTTGGCATTGTTTTTTGTAATTCCTTATGCTATATATTTTATCTTTGTATTGTTTCCAGTATTGGAGGTATAAATTTTGTAGAGATTTTTTAGAGAGTTCTAATTCATTTTATGTATTTTTTGTAAGTTTGACTCCATGAAAGTGTGTTATCACAATGTTAAATATATGTGTAAGCATTGTGCAAATATATAAAAATGTTGCAATTTCCTCAGTAAGTGAAGAGATGTCATTTTGTACATATGCATTTATGAAAAGTAAAATTTCTTGAGATCTCAGCTATTTGGACAACTTTACATACGGTGTAGTAACCCATAGCAATTTTTGATCAAGCTCATGTAAAGGGTTAGTTATGTTGTTTGTCCTGACATTTCAGATGACCACAGTTATAAAGCTGGGTACACACAATCACCAACCACAGTGATGTACATTTATAGATCTCTTTTGACCTACTTATAAATACAGTTCACATGCTCATAACTTATAACCACGCAAACTGTAATTAGTACATTTGACTTGCGTTCTGTTCTTGCTTGCAAAAATGTGTCATTATTGCCTATTTTATTGTGTAACATGGCCTGTAAAGCGTTCTGTTGTGTTTTTATATGTTTCTCAAAAAAGTCCACTTTAAAAAATGTAAATAAATATCTTTTAAACAATTAAAACAATTATTTTTCCCACATTTTGATCTTTCTGGATTATGATTTTTGGGATTTTAGATGTTAGGGGTTTTGGTTTTTTGTTAACCAGGATTACATTAAAAGTTTTCCCATGTAGGCCGGGTGTGGTGGCTCACACCTATAATCCTAGCACTCTGGGAGGCTGAGGCAGGTGGATTGCCTGAACTTTCGGGTTTGAGACCAGCCTGAACAAGAGCGAGACCCTGTCTCTAAAAATAGCCAAGCATTGTGGCAGGCGCCTGCTCAAGTGCCAGCTACTTGAGAGGCTGAGGCAAGAGAATAGCTTGAGCCCAAGAGTTTGAGATTGCTGTGAGCTATGATTCCATGGTACTCTAGTGAGAGTGACAAAGTAAGACTCTGTCTAAAAAAAAGAAAAAGCCCAGTCCAGAAATAAATGGAAGAAGTGAACATTTACAAAACAACAATAAATAATAAAAGTTCCCCCAAATAGGGTGGATAATGATTCTCAGCTATAGAGTTTTAATAATGATGATTATGTTAGGTTTTATAAATTCTGAACTGAGCTAATTAATTACAGAGTTTGATAATATGCTTTGTTTTTCATTTGTGACCTGATAAATACTTTGTTTGGTAGTTTTTAAAAGGAGAGAAAAAATACTACCAGAGTATCATAGTAGTCATCTTCCCTAAACTAAATGCCATGGAATAATTTAGACTATCGTTTAATTTATAAAATCAGAGCACAAATGAAGTGAAATAAGGTCACTGCTGCTATCAAAAGTAAAAAGAAAAAAACTCAAATATTTAACTCAATTTTTTCTTTTTTTCAGATTAATATGAGGGTCCAAATGATTAGGTTACATGTCTGCATTTGTTAGGTGAGGTCCTCGTTGTAGTTGTGTCCTGCACCCAGGATGTGTGCCGTATATCCTTACACTGTGCCCATTAGGTGGGAGCACACCATTCCCCCTCTGTCGTCCCCCTTCCCCACAGCTTGAATTGAGTTTTTCTTCAATATTGTTTTAACTTTTCTTATAAGTCATATGACTTTATATTTTATGTCAAGGACTCAAACTAATCTTTTAAAAGATGACTAATGGAGAAAACAAGGTGAATGTATAATAAATTTTAACACAGTTAATCATTTTTATATTATACAGTTGGCTGGGGAACAGACCAGGGAATTGGTGGATTCGGAGAGGAGCCAGGAATTAAATCTCAGCTAGTGAACCTTATTCGGTCTGTAAGAACCGTGATGAGAGGTAAGAAATACCAGCAGAGCACTCTTAAATTTTAATCTTGTGTTTCAGTATAAGAAGCAAAGCTTCTTCTAAGTGTGAATACTTTCACATACCCTCACATTGTGGGAATTTTTTTTCTTTTTGACATGGCTGTACTGCTTGAAATTTAGTGGTATTTTTCCTTAGTTTGCCTCTCATTTCTGTGTAAGCCAATTGGTGCAGATGGAATGTTTTGTGGTATAATCTGTATGTTATCTGTCAGAGCTGAAAGAAAATGACATTCTTGCCTTTTGGAAATTCTGGTGCCTTCAAGTTATAAGGGTCATATAGAGCATTGGAAGGCTTTCAAGAGAAAAATAAAGTACTCATGACTGTCAATCTGTTGGAAAATATTTTCAAGCAGTTGAAGAAGGAAAATTTAAGACCATTAAGTTACGGTCTCTTCTCTCTTTAATCACAATCTTGGATACAATGTTAAATAAATCCACTCTTAATTTAATAACAAAGCTACAGAATCTTCATTATACTGAATTTTTAATCTCAAGTGTCACTGGCAGCCGTGTGGGCCTGCTTCTGCCTGGGTCCAGTGTGCTTCTGTGTTCCCTGAGCTGCACGGCACCATCCATAGATGTTTCATATTGATGTACTTGTGCCAGTGTGACCTTCATTCCCAGTTACACAAGCTCTCTTTAAATAAATTTTGGATTTTACGATCTAGTGTATTTTTGAATGTTCCTCTGTTGTAACTATTTACAACACAATTATGATGTTATTCTGTTATTTCAATGCTTCGTGGGTGGTAGTAACTATTGCTTAACTTTTTTCCTCATTTTGCTTTATAGTAACAAATTGGTTTCTTTTTCTTTTTTTCTCTTTGCAGTGCCATTGATAATAGTAAACTCAGTTGCAATTGTATTACTTTTATTATTTGGGTAAACATCAGTGGAGGAAATGGAGACTCAGAAGAAGTGTCGCAGAAGTTACTACTTCAGTCATTGGAATATTCGTATCTTAGCAGGCTGACCTTGCACTTGACAAAAATGTAAAGCAGACAATAAAACCAGAGTTCCTTTTTATCTTATTTTTTTTTTTTTGATGTTGCACTTGTATTTTCATTATAAAAAAGATCAGATCATCAGATGCAGTAACTTTCCAGGACTGGAATACATTTGGTTGACGACTGTTAATAATAGTTAATGCTCTGGTAAAGATTACTAAAAGGGTGCAGGACTGTTGCTTCTGTTTTGTTTAGATATTTTTCTATCTCTCACTTCTCAGGGATGAATTTTTTTCTTCAAAGTTTTGAAGTTCCTTATGACTTAGCCATGACATGAGAGTGATTATCTGCTTGCATAAAATTTAAAGGATTTTTTAAAAAGCAATTTACTATATACGAAATGATAAATAGATAATTTGAATAGTTTTATTTTAAATTCTTGGGTTGACCATTTTGTTTATATATTATCTCAGCTATCAAGAATTCAAATTTATAAACACTATTGAGCAGTAATACTTTCTGACTTCAGGGAGAATTCTAATTTTGTAAGTCAGTCACATGATGATTAGTTTTTATTTAAGTTATTTTCATGCGTTTGTTATTTATTAATTGGCCTGAATATTGAGACCAGACCAGTGTTAGCATACTTTCATTGGTAGAAAAGTTTAGAAAAGTCTGTACCCTTTTTATAATGATGACTTTTCAAAAGAATTAGCATAAATATTAGCCTGCAAGAACAATCTTAAACAATCACAATTAAACTATATTAGAATAGGAGATGATTTATCATGAAGCATTTACCTCCCCCCAAATTATCACATTTCCATTTCTTGGTGGAGTGTCACATTGAAAGATGTGATTCTTAATTCTCATTCTCTGTCAATAGCACGTTCATGCTGGATAAGTTGTTTATTTTGTTTTGTTTTTATGCCTCAGACCATCTTGTAAGATACTTTCCCATCCCATAATACAGTTTTATGCAGAAAGGTTGAAACTATGTAAATGGATTTTGTGGAAATTTTCAGTTATAATATTTTAAAGGGGTTGAATGGCATCTTTGTTTATTTGTAAATAAAATTGGATTTCCAAGTCAAGCACTTGTGTACCTTAGTATAAACCTGTTAATGTTTACTGCCTTAATCTACATTTGGTGTGTAACATCTCTCATATATGTTCTTTGCTATAAAATTGCTGAGTATAGATTTAATGATTACTTAGCTCATGTGGGTAACTAATATATTTTGGCACTTAAAGGCGATGTGGGTTTTTTGGCCTCAGAGTTGATGGAGTAGTTCAAGTTTGAGCCACTTTACAGATTCAGAAGAAGCTGTTAATTGAGGGCAGTAGCATGTTTTTATATGTATAAGCCATATGACATTTTAAAAAGAAAGAAAAGACCTAGTCTGAGGTCTTTTTTCATGTAAGGTATTACAGCACTCCTTCATGTTAATTTAATTTTGGAATACTGTCTAAAGTCCACACTCTGGGGAGCAGTTACAGAAGGGCAGGCTCAAAGTATTCTGTAGCAAAGTGAAGGAATGAACATCAAAATATTTCAGACCTGGAGGCCACTAACACAATTCCAGTCTTAATATGGCTGAAAAGAGGTCCGTAAGCTTTTATAGGTTACCCCTCGTTTCCCAGAGCAGTTTTGATTCAGTAATAACAGTATCTTATTTTAGAGTCTGATTGCCTGCCCACGTCCTCCCCTTTATTCATTCTCCACGTTAAAAATTTGTGATCATTCTGGACTCAACTGTTCATGATGTTTATGGTTCTTACGTATTCTGGTCCTACCTCTGTATGCCTCTCAACTCTGTGAAGGGTCTTGGCTCTAGTCTATAAGAGCCAAATTTGTACCCTAATCCTTAATCAAGTTCATTAGTTTTCAAACATTGATTAACAACAGAACCAGATTGTCAAAGGAATTCTAACATAGAATTGTAATACTATCTAAAACAGATAAATGTAGGTCCATTTATGTATTTATTTTTAATTGAAGCAGGAGTGGGACCCAAAGGCTCACTGTTCAGCCTCTACCCCACGCTCGTCAAGCTTCTCAGGTATTTCCACAAAATGCTAACTTTTCAAAACCATGACTAAAAATTATGTTGTAAAATCCCTGCTTTATGGGGCCAGGTACAGTGGCTCACGCCTGTAAATCCTAGCACTCTGGGATGCCAAGGCGGGTGGATTGCTTGAGGTCAGGAGTTCATGACCAGCCTAAGCAAGATTGAGACCCCCATCTCTAAAAATAGCTGGATGTTGTGCCTATAATCCCAGCTACTTGGGAGGCTAAGGCAAGAGAATCTCTCCAGCCCAAGGGTTTGAGGTTGCAGTGAGCTATGGTGCCACTACACTCTATCAAGGGCATCAAAGTGAGACTCTGTCTCAAAAAAAAAAAAAAAAAACCTGCTTTATGTACAGTAAGAAAGGGCGATCTGATTGTGCTGTGCAGGTATATAAGGTTACTTGTGTTTATACTCATGAAATGGAGAGGAAGCAATGTATCTGAATGGTACAAAATAGGAGGCAGGATATTATTTACCAAACAAAACCTTTATCATGTCACTTAAGGCAAATAAACTTCCTAAGATCTCAGTAGGTTTTGGCTGGCTTATCTTTAAAATTGGTCAATAACTGTTTCAGAACTCAAATCTGGTCCAGATGATTTACATACATTTTTTCAAATCACTAACCTTTGATTCTAGATGTATCACAACCAAAGAGATGCTCTCCTGAAATAAAATGTTTTTGGTTAAGTAAATCACTTTCTCATTGATATATTATTCACAACATAAGATTTTGGTACTGGCTCCGCGCCTATAGCTCAACCGGCTAAGGCGCCAACCACGTACACCTAAGGTGGCGGGTTCGAATCCCCAGCCCGGACCCGCCAAACAACAATGATGGCTGCAACCAAAAAATAGCCGGGCGTTGTGGCGGGCGCTTGTGGTCCCAGCTACTTGGGAGGCGGAGGCAGGAGACTCGCCTGAGCCCAGGAGTTGGAGGTTGCTGTGAGCTGTAATGCCACGGCACTCTGCCCAGGGGGACAGCTTGAGGCTCTGTCTCAAAAAAAAAAAAAAAAAAAAAAGATTTTGGTACTAATGAAAAAGGAATTCCTTTTTGCTAAAATTTTCCATGATCCCTCACTGGATTGGAGGTCAGATATTGTAAAAACATAATGGGTAATGCCCATGGGAATTAATAATCAAGATAAGTTCTGGAACCCCACCGTTAGTGTTAGGTTTTCACTCCTCCTTTGGGTTTTTTTTTTGCCCCATGTTTTTTTTTCAAATTTAGCCCCTCCCTTTTGAGGTCCCAGTCCTTCTGTATTCATTTTGCCTTGGGGCCAGTATAATCATCTGATGAGTCTTCTTGGTGAGGAGAAAGCCATTCTTTAGTCCTGTTTTCATTATTCTACATAATAGTGAATGATACCATCAGGTACACTACCCAATTGTCCAAACCTGGAATTTAGTTATCTTTTTCTTCTTTTGAGATAGTCTTGTGCCATCTCCCAGGCTTGAGTACAGTGGCATGATCATAGCTCATTGCAACCTCAAAATCCTGGGCTCAAGTCATCCTCCTGCCTCAGCCTTCCAAGTAGCTAGGACTACAGGCATGTACCATCACACTCAGCTACTTCTTTTAGTTTTCGTAAAGATGGTACCAAAGGATTGTTCAGGCTGGTCTCAGACTTCTGGCCTTAAGGGATCCTCCAGCCTTGGCCTCCCAAAGCAATGGCATGAGCCACTGTGCCATGTCCCACTAATTATCTTGATGCTTTTCTCTCCCTCACCCCCAAACTAATCTGTCACCAATTTCAAACTCTTACCTCCTAAAAATCTCTTGCATTTGTCCTCTGCTTTGTTTCAGACATAGTTAAAACATCTCTCCTGTACCCCTGTAGTAGTCTGTTCTAGATTCATCCATTCTGGCACCTTTCCCGTCTACTCTCCATACTCTAATACTTTTCTGAGAAAGTATTCAGAAAAAAATGTATGTCTTATATTACTCACTTGCTTAAAATCTTTTGGTGATGTTTTAATCTGGTCAAAGACTCAACTGGTTCAGAAAGGAAAACTAGAATCAAGTACCTTTTCCTTCAATGTGAGCTTGTCGCATAAAAACAAAGCAAAACAAAAACAATCTTATTCTTAGCAAAGATAAATAAGACAGAAAGAACTTGAGACCCAAGTGGGGAGAAAAAGCAAAAGGCCCCAGTCCAAAGGCCAGAAAGGATTACAGCTCACACCATGGTTGACTGCAGCACTGGGCCAAGGGGGTGGTGGATAGTGTTCCTATAGAATGTGGGTCGTCAGTCAAGGGCAGAACAGCAATTTTATTAACGAATTCCATCCGTGTAACCAGAATGTGTATCCTATTAAATCAGACTCCTCCTTCAAGTTGTTTCTTTAGTCATTTTCTAAGTCAGTACATAAGGGTGGCCATCTCTGCATTCAGTTTAAGTCCAAATAATATACCTAGATCAAGAGGAAACAAGTACAGGCCCCTAACGTATGTGAAAGGGTGGGGGTGGGAGAGGTGGTTGTACTGAACCAAGTTATAGGTCCCCTAGAACAGTCAGGCAAGGCTTGCAGTACCTCTACCACAGGGAAAGGGGTCGGAACCACAGCGTGAAGTTTTGTAATAGCTGATGAACGAAAAGAGAGTTGTAGCCGCTAAGGTAGTGGGCAAAGGAAGAAAAGCAGTTCTTTAGTCAAGTAGCTACGGAGGAAATGACTTCCGAGATTCAGAAATTTCAAGGAAAGTGTGATTCTGAGCTGCCCACCGAGGACGAACAAGAAGAGGTGGAGGAAGGCAAGTGGCGGAAAAGAAATCTCGGTTCAACAACGATATGTGGAATGGACAAAGGTAGGGATTTTAGTTCTTCCTCGTAAGCCTGGGCCCAGCAGGCAGAGCCCTTGCGGGAGAGTTTCAGTTTCTCCTCAGTGGCAGTGCAGGACCAGGATCTGACTGGATAGTGGGTGTCCCAACCCTAAGCCGGCAGAGGACCCCGGGCAATGGTAGCACCGGAAAAGGCGGGGCTTCCGGTGCGGTCCAGGGCCATTTCCGGCGTCCTTCTGGCAGCTGTAGGGCGCTCTAGGCCGGCTGCGGGGACCGGTGAGGCTTTTTGACTTTCCTGAGGACGGCGTGCGGAACGGGGGTGAGAAACCGCTCTAGGGCGGAACAGGAAAAAGCAGAACTGGGGCCAGGCTGGTTGCCATCTTTATAACGGGGCTCGCGGCAATACGGGCGGCGTCCCTGCACCAGCCTTCCCGCGGTGGCACGGGCAAACCCACGCGCTTGCTCCGTGAGGACAGCCCGCCCCTCGGCCTAGGCGCCACTGCGCGTGCGCAGAACAGGCCCCCTAGGCTCCGCTAGGCAGCCGCTTAAGCGATGTCCTGTCCTGGGTTTCCCGTGGGCGGGTGGTGAGTCCGGCGTATTAGTCATTTCTGGAAGCGTGCCCCTGGACTGTATTTCGAAGCTAGCGTCTCTTCTGGTTAGTTCGGCGTTTGTCAGACTGTAGAACTTGGTCTCGAACAGTGCACTGACCATTCGTGAAGCTACTTCCCACCCAAGAGGTGGAAGGATCGAAGTTGAGTGGGTGCAGATTTTGTTCTTGCATCCTTTCTGCTTTCGAGACTTGGATCATGAGTTTAGTTAATTCAGAGCCTTTCTTGAACGCCTAAGCAACACAGTGGAAAAGGCAACACCCACCTTTCATTCGCAAAGCTCTAGAGTTTAGTAGAACAGATGCGGGCAGATCACCAGGGCAGTGATACGTCTAATGGGAGCACATTGCCTCAGGGAAGGCACGCCAGAGGAAATCATGCTTAACAGAGATTGAGGACAGGTGTGGATCTGGGGACAGGAGGGTGTAGGGGGTGAGAGTGAGTGTTAGAATACAGAGAGCAGAAGTGGTTTCAGACAAAAATCCCATAGTGAGGGAAATTAAGTACAGGACACTTGGTTGACTACAATGCCATGGAACTTGGGTGCCAGTAGACACAGGTCAGTTCGGGAAGTAAACCAGAACTCTTCTCTAGCTGTGTTCATTGTTCAGACTTCATAGAGCAGTGGGGAGCCACTGGAAGAATTTTAACTGGGAAGTAACTGAATAATATCATTTACTGAGTGAAGGCAGTGGTTCCAGAAAAGTCTGGAAATTCTTTGGAAGGAGAATTTGTACACCCCAAGGGAGGTTAGTAGGCATATTCTCCTGAAGAGGCTCAATCTCCCAATAGAAATTTTGTATTGAAATATCTTGTTTTATCTTAAGTATTTATTGCATGTTTTGAATTGTATTCCACAATGTATCTTTATTTTGATACACTTTCTTAAATCCTCAAGTTATATTAATATTTTAGGACTTTGCATCATATGTATCTTGTGATTTTTTGGTCCTTGACACATCCCTCATGTACTGGTCCGTCTTTCCTCCCCAAATTTGCCCCCCCCCCCAACCAATACATAGCCAAGCCTTTCTGTGAGTACAGCACTGTTAATGATACTTACTTGTGTTAATATCTTTAATCCTTTCCCTCATTAGAGGTGAGTGTTACTATTGCTACTACTTTAGCAATGAAAAAAAAACAGGTTAAGAGGCTAAGAAAATTTCCCAAGTTCACATCGCTAGTGAGTAAGGATTCTTCCCAGGCATGTAGAACTCCTTTGTTCTTGCACTTAACCACACTGCACTATTGCATTTCAGCGAATGGGTTTGGGGCTGGAAATAGGCAATATAAAGCAGAGAGGACATTTAAGAAGTTGTTGGAATAGTCATAAGAGATGATGATTTCAAAACTAAGGTAGTTTTAGTAGTGATGAAGGTAAGTGAGTGGATTCAAGACTGTAAAGGAGGTGGAACTGATATGATTTGGCATCTGGATTGATAATGCTGCCAATCACTCATAAGGATCGTGGGACAAAGAACAACTTTCAGGGTGAAAGGACTTGTTGAATTGAGATGCTGGTGGGATATTCAAGGATGGATGTCCTCTGAAGTATCTAGAAGAGTTCCTTTTGGGATGAGAGAGGGAATTTGCTGTTCTTCTTTACATTGACTATGTACCAGTTGTTTTATGGCTCTTCTAACGGACATCCCATGTAACTTGCTCAGATTATGGGAGATGGTGGGATGTGGACACAAGAGAAACAAAATCATGGGTTACTTTGGAGCCTTTATAGTTGTTTTGAGATGATATTAGTATTTTACAATCTTATTTTATCAAATACCACTTGCAGTTCAGGTAACAAGGATTACAAAGGTTCAGACGAGAAGAGAGATCATGGCAGAAGTGGACAAGTTAGTGGGAATAACTGAAGAATAACTATATTTTGAGGTGTGAATGGGCATCTCATTTTTCTTTTAGGCCTCGGTCAATCACTTTGAAATATGTGATGTTAGAGGTTAAAAGGTATGTTCTCTGGAACTAACAAAAGCAAAGAACATAGGCTTTTTTAATGTTTTGGTAACGTTAAGTCTATGTGCATGCTTTAGTAAGGATTAAAATTATCGGTATTTAATATGACAGTTCCCTGGCTCTAGTTGGCCAGGTTGGGTTTTTTCCCCCAAGAAGTACAGTTCTTTCTTTTGTTTTTTTCCAGTCTTGTTTATATTTTGTTAATCACTTTCAGAAGTAACATTTTTAATTGAATATAGATGTCTCTCAAGAAGCTGGGTTTTGAGAGAAACAATTTTAGGTTCCTCTATGTATAAAAAGAAAATGCTTTATGTACATTTGTCCATCCTTTTGTGGTGCACTTGGTGTATTTTAAATTAAATAATTCTTGAAGTATTACTCATCCAAATAGAGTCCCTAGGAACAGTCAAGGCTTTTAACTAACAAGTTGTTTCTCCTCTTAGGCAGGTAATAGTTGATGCTATTGTTGATGTAATCCTTCATGTCAAAGTCACAGTAAAGATCAGAAATAGAACAATATGAGGACTGTTACAAAAGGGAGGATTTTTTTTTTTTTTTTTTTTTTTTTTTGAGACAGAGCCTCAAGCTGTCCCCCTGGGTAGAGTGCCATGGCATCACGCTCATAGCAACCTCCAACTCCTGGGCTCAAGCGAGTCTCCTGCCTCAGCCTCCCAAGTAGCTGGGACTACAGGCGCCCGCCACAACGCCCGGCCATTTTTTGGGTGCAGACATCATTGTTGTTTGGCGGGCCCGGGCTGGGGATTCAAACCCGCCACCTTAGGTGTATGTGGCTGGAGCCTTAGCCGCTTGAGCCACAGGCGCCGAGCCAAAAGGGAGGATTTTGCAGTTGAACCTTGATTAACCAGAGCTCTTAATGTTTTTTTTTTTTTTTTAACTTTTGCACTTTTTTTTTTTCTACCAGCCGTTGCATTATAAATGACAAACAGAATCAAGGATTTACTTGAAATACAAGTGCCTCAGGCTTGGGGGTTTTTACGATGAGTTGTATAGTAATTGTGTAGACTTAGTTTTTTAAAACTATATTGCATATAAGAAAAATGACTGAAATTTAGCAAGACTGATATTTGTTGTGAAATATGTAATCCACAAGAGTATGTGCAATGTATGCTGTATATAAGTTTTTAATAATATCTTCTAGGTAAAGAATAGAGCATCACCAGACCTTAGAGCAGAGGTCTTCAACCTGTGGGCCACGACCCCTTTGTAACAATGAAAATACATTGCAGGGTTAGGAAAGTTGAGAACCACTGCCTTAGAGGCTCCCTTTGTGATAGGAGTAACCAGTATCCTGACTTTCGTGGTGATCTTTCGATTGCCTTGCTTCTCTTTATGGTTTTGTCACTTATGTGTGCATGTCTGTTGAATGCTAGAGTGTGAAGCCATAGTGTATGTATTCTTTGGGACTTGCTTCTTCCCTCCAGTAGTGGATTTCTGAGAGTTATGTAAGATGATGTATGTGAATGTAATTCATTCATTTTCACTGCCTTTTGTATTTTTTGTGTGAAAATAACCATAATTTAATTATATATTCCATTGTTAGACATTTGTGCTGTTTTCATTGTCTGGCTGTTAAGCAAACAGTGCTGCTGTGGACGTTTTTGTTCATGCCTCATGGTATGTCAAGGAACTTATCAAGGGCACAAAAACCTAGTTGTGGAATTACTGGGTCATAGAGTATGGTGATGCTGAACTGATTTTAAAAGTGCTTGCACAGGTTTATTCTCTCAGTAGTGGTATATGGAGATTCCTGTTGGCAAATTTAGTATATTGAGACTAAAATTTTGCCAGTGTGTTAGTTGGTGCTGTGATCTCATTGTGTTTTAAATTTGTATTTCCCTGATTACCAGTGAGTTTGAGCATCTTTGTTTTTTTGCTGTTAATATTTGCACTTTTATAAAGGATACGTTGAGATCTTTTGCATTTTTCCTATTGAGTTATTTTTCATTTTCTTAATAATTATAGTTTATATTTTCTGGATGTTTTTCTTTTTTTTTTGAGACAGAGCGTCAAGCTGTCCCCCGGGTACCATGGCATCACAGCTCACAGCAACCTCCAGCTTCCAACTCCTGGGCTTAAGCGGATCTCCTGCCTCAGCTTCCCAAGTAGCTCGGACCACAGGTGCCCGCCACAATGCCCGGCTATTTTTTGGTTGCAGCCATCATTGTTGTTTGGCGGGCCTGGGCTGGATTCGAACCCGCCACCTTAGGTGTATGTGGCTG